CCTGCATAAAGTATCAAACCAAAATACCCAGTTGTGTAATTCCTGGATATCTTCAGTACTGAACTAAAGCAACAGCTCTGATGAAACAGAACTAGGAAAGACCTTCAAAATTGCCAGATGTCGTTAGGAAAACTGCAATCTTGGTAGTGCTGTTTTGGCTTTAATCTAGCATGTTTGTCCTTGCCCAGAACTGTAAGGGTGAACTTCATGAAGACTCCAGGTTAGGGCAGCTCCTCTAGGTTCTCCTGCAAAGAGTTGCTCTGGGCGTACAGGCAGCGAGGGCCGCGGGGAGGAGAAATGGTGCAGGGAGGTGTTGCCGATCGAGAGGTGCCTGGTGCCCTTCTGTCGGCCTGGGTGTGCGCTGGTCTTCAGGAATATTGGCAAGGTTTGTTCTTGAGTTTAGATCTTACTAAATATTATTGTGAACTGTAACTGTTTTCGTGATTTGCTCCTTTTAGAGGAATACTGGAGCTATTGCTGTGATGTTTGTGCGTGCGGTGCTGCAGTGACAGAACACGGCACTTAAGCAATGGAAAAACAACTGGATGTGTTATCTAGAGTTTGTACCTTTTCTTAAAACAAACAACACTGCCCAAGCCCTCCTGAATGGTAGTAAATGGTAGTAAATGAACATGGTTTTAAGCTTGAGAAGTACCCATGCTTAAATTGTACCATTTGAATCCAGTAGTTTTGAAAATGGTGTGGTTCTGCTGTAAATGTATAGTGAAAGGGGTGCGCAGTGCCTCATTGGAAGTGTTTGCAATACTCGCTGAGTTCAAGTTGCTTTAGTTTTTGTTATGGAGACCGTGTGTTTTGTCTGAAAGCTGCTAAGAGAATTGCATTTTTGGTAATACTAGCCTGTGCTGAGAGAATAAATGTTCAAATATGTGATGCTGTGAAGTTTACAGTTTCATTGTGGCAACTTTACGTTGTCACAGACTTACAGAAGTATTGATATAAACATTGGCTTTTTTTTTTTTAAATAGAATTGAATGAAATCTTGAATGAAATCTACATTTGATTATCCCCCCCCAACCATTCACAATAGTCTCAGTACACTGAATAGTTAAAGTCAATAGTAAAAAAAAAAAAAGCCCATCCGATAATCGAAGTCAAAAGACCTGAGTTGTTGGGAAAATGCTTGTGCTCATAGTGAAGCTGCAAAACCGTTCCTTTGTTACAGCTGCTTTTAAATAAGAAATATTTAGAGAGCCATAGTTGGAAGTTCACTTAACGTTCCAGCTGCATCGGAAAGCTCGAAGCTGCTCGAACGGTCGTGCTGGCGCACAGTTGAGAGAGGGACTGAAAGCCGTGTACAGCGTGCAACAGGCACAGTGACGTAGCTTTTAAACCAGGTCAATCCTTAGGCTCCCTGTATTTCTACTCAAGTCACAATTCAAGCACGGGAAGCTACTGTGTCGTGAGTTTTAAACGCTGTAGAAGCATTATACAGTAGTGGCGGTTGGGTGCAGTATAATTGTGTCAGATGAGTTCTGTGCTATCGGGAGTGGTATTTTCTGTTTTCTAGTTCCTGGCTTAAAAACCAAACCCCAACAACAGCAAAACCAGAAAACCATGTGTAACGTCAATGTATCCTTCTTGAGGAGAACTCCCCCCCTGCCCTGCCCCATGTGTGGATTTCACGTTGGGGTTTTTTTTTAAAAAAACAAGCTTATTTTCCAAGATTGGCTTTAAGATGCTGCATTTTGATCTCCATGTGTTGTTACCGCTCGTCACAGCTATGGATTAAATCCCATGCAGAGTTCACCTGTTTGTCTTACCCCATAAAACTTTGCGGAAAATAAAACTTCCACAAATGTTATTTGTAACAAATAGTAGTAATTCACTGTGATTTCATCAAGCAACTCGTAACGAGACCGTTTAGTGCGTTTTACTACATCTGTTTTGTTAATCGGTCGGTGGCGTAAATTCTTTATCTTTACCGAGCACAACTGAATTCGGCTCTGCTTTTCCAGAGCAATGTTACCAGAACTCTCTAGGATCTTTCTGCTGAAAAAGGCGTCTTTTAAATATATCAGAGTTGTAGATTAATTTGGAACTGTTTAAAAGTTTCTCAAGTGTCATTTAATGTTTCTTTTCAAAGTGGAGAAAAATATTTAAATGTAGTCTTACAGAATAAAGATGATATACTTAATACATTCTAGAATGTAAATCTTTGTAAAAATTACTTCATTTTTTTTTCTTGTATAGAAACTAATCTCAGTTGTGAAATCCAAAGATGAATAAAGCTGTACAAAGGGAAGGTTCTTAAATTGCATTTATTAAAACTGAAGCATGTTTCAACACTTTGGACACAAGGCTTCAAAGAGGGCAGATGCTTTGCTCAGCCTTCATGAGGGCTGGCACCCCCGGAGCTGTACTGATGCAGAGGCACGGCATCCTCCACTCCTGACTGCAGATGGAGGCGACTGAAGGGAAGGGGTGGAAACCGCAGAGGAACCCTCAGCTGCTGCGAGCGCTCGGCTGCTGACTGTAGGCTTGGGGGTCAGCTCCATTCCAGGGGTTCCGGGTTTGCAAACGCACTGTAACATCTGCCGACTCAGATTTAAGCCTCCGGCTGGAGAGTTAAATAAGAACCAACGCGGGCAATGACAGGCAGACTTGCTCAGGTAAGATGTTACTTAAATTTTTTGGTAAAAGTGTTTTGGTTTGTGGTGTTTTTTTTTTTTTTTTTTTGTTTGGGTTTTTGTTTTGTTTTTTTTTTTTAAAAAGAGCTATCAAAGTATTGCGAAACTGAGCCTTAGGATGTGTATCAGACTGTTCTGAACATGGTTTGCAGTGAGGCAGGCTCCTGGGCTGCGATGAGGCTCTCTTGTAAATGAGCGTTGACTGACTCCCATGAATCGGCTACATCTGTCTGTGGCTTTTTTTTTTTTTTTTTTTTAAATCAAAACCCCCCCATTTTTTTCCTTAAATCAAATCCCTACAGTTGGATGAGCAGTATCTTGGCTAAAGTTCCTGGCCTTTTTATCTGGGCCAGATAGAAATGGAAGAGAAACAGTGGAGCATTACCTATGCTGCATTCGTTTATCTTTGTTAAAAGTGTTAGGAAGGAGGCATGGAACATCAGGATTTGAAGACTGAGGTAGCCACACCTCTGACCTATAGCACCGTCCCTTTTTCCTTAGATTGAGTACACAAAGACCTCTAAGCTTCATGGTTGGATTTTATTAAAAAATAGCAGAGCATGGTTGTTTCAAATACAGAGAACTAAGGCATTTTAGAAAAGAGATTTAGAAAATACGTTACGCTGTTTGCACAAGGTGCCCTTCGATGACTGAAGGGACCTCGGAAGGCACTGAAAGCAACAACTCATCCGTCCTTTCGCTTGCTCAGTGTTCCCTTCCTTCGGCTGCAAGGCAGGGCTGTGCCTGTTCTCCTCACGAACTCCCCCGGGGCCATCACCCACTCCCCGTCTCCTGGGTCTCTCTTCCTTGCCTCCTACTCGGCTGTCCCCTGAGAAGCCGCCTGCCGGACTTCCAGCTGATGCCGTGTACGGCTAGACAGAGCTTTTCCTTTCTGCTACCCAGCTGCACGTTTCCACAAGAAAAGATGGCTGCTTATATCCTTATGGAGTATTACTGGGGGATGGGGGAAGGGTAGAGGAGGTGGCTCTTTCACTAATATAGTGTACCTGAAGAACACAAAAGGAGTGTGTCTGGCCTTGCCCTTTACCAAGTGACAGTCAGTCCTCTGAATTTGTATTTATGGAAGAGATTGTGTCGTTCAGACTACGGAGAACAAAAGGTTCAGACACAACTGAGCACTGTTAACTCCACAGAAAAACACAAGACTCTGGTAGACCTCTTGTTTGGGCAACCTGGGGAAGCAGGGGGAAATCTGAAAGCTTAACAAACAGGCAATGTAAGTGAGCATCATCCACTGATAAAAGCAGGCACTCGCACAACATAGGCCAAATAAGGTCTAAGGCCTTTGGAAAGACTTCATCTAGCTTGCTTTCACATTAAATGCAGGAAAAAAAAAAAGACTAGAAAAAGCAGATGTCATAGCAGTAGCCTGAGGACAACAAAAAAATGCGCAAAATAGTGCAAAGATGGAAAGAAAAACATGTAAAGCTTTAACAACAGCAAAAACCCGAAGAGTAAGAGCTGCATGGATGGATGAAAACAGCTGAAGGTGCCCTTCAGAAGCACGGTGTAGCCAAGAGCTCCGCAGTAAGGACAGAAGGTGCCGGGGCAGCAACCCAGGAGCTGATGGAGAACGCTAGCCAGCCCCGACAGAACAGAGCTGTGCAGTGTCGTCAGGAGGAACACAACCGCAGCCCCGCTCTGAAACCCCCTGGTCACACAGCTTGAGTGGGAAAGAACCATTTCCAAAAAATTTGTGGAAGTTCTATGAAACCCACGTAGTACAAAAGCAGTACAACTTTAATTCTTCCAGTAAGATGTTAAAATCAAGTATCTTTCTAGTTGTTTTTTTTTTAATTCTAATATTAATAACAAGTCATTTTAAAATAGGATAGCTGCTTTGTGACAAAGCTGCTTTATGTTATTTCTGAGGCCCTACAGATGGAAGAATGGCTACACAAGGACCAGAACCACCATCAGGCAATAGTAACTGGTTGAATTTGAGTCGCTGTGGGTCTGAAAACAGAGAAGGTGTACACTTGCAGTAAATACTGTTTCTAGATTAGCATGCTATTAAAACAAAATCAAAAATCAGGTCTCCCCTAATACGCGGATTGCCACATCACACTTCATTGCGCAGCCTCCACCTGCCCACAGCTTTACTCTCCTGCAGAAAACTTACCTACCTCACAAGGAAAAGCTGATGATCCAAGTCTAAAAAGATCTTCTTTCACAATGTAGACAAGGCTTATTGTATTGTCTTATCACCGTTTATGTATTTCAGTGTCTATTTCTCTTATCTAAGAAGAATTTCATCTTACTAGTAATTCTTCCTGAAGCAAAGTAGTTTTGATACATTTTTGGAGCAGGATGCTTTACTATGCAAAGGATTTATTTTATTCCTTTTACACCTTCCAATGTTACTGTATAGTAGCAAAAGGATGGAGGGAGATGAGGAGCAAAAACTACTCTTAAAGTCCTCACGCTTCCAGTGTGGTGTGATGCAGCTCCAGGTGACGGTTCAGGTTGTGAGATTCGGCTGACCATCAGTCTCATGAGCAGTTGATTTGCCCAGGTTATTCCAAGTGCTGGAGAGACTCTGTTACCCACTACACTATAAAGAAAGCATGACAGATTTCTGCATGTATGCATTTAGTATGAAATACCTTCACTTCTGTTGTAACAAAATTACACTGGAGGAAATGATCTACTGTTGCTATGTTTACTGTTGTTTGCTCTATGTAAAACTATAGGTCTTCGAAGAGAGATGACTGGGTATACCCACAAAACGATATGCTCTATATAGCAAGGTAACAGCTGGAAGACAAGTGCTTCTATACACAATAATTCAGTCATTTTTCCAACTACAGCTGTGGTGAATACCAGCCTCTTGTGATAGGAAAACAGCAATAGTAAAATGGTTGAATTTTAAGTACTTGAAGTGTGTAACTGTTGGCCCTGGATTCCATCTGAAGGTATATTTAGAAATGCATACATATTACTTTCAACCCAAAGTTTAAAACAATTTTTTTCCTGGAAAAAGTACAATCTCTCCAGTAAAAGATTTACAAAATAACCAGGGAAGAAAACCTGAACCTTATCGTTGTTGTGTCTCACATAACCAACTCCTCACAAAAACACATTTATGCAGCACCTAGCTTATCTAGTAAATCAAGAATACAGTTAAGATGTAAACAAATGTGTATGTTTTAATCCTGTTAGTATCTTGGTGTCAAAAGATACTTTTTTTTCCTTAAGCAACTGACAAAACCAACCCATAGGGTTTGGTTGCTGTATTTTTTTAAGCAGACAGAAAATGCACTCGGTTATATCAGAGATAAGAAGAGATGCAAAAATACTCTTGTGTAAGCAAGTCCACCAGCCATTAACTCCAGAGAATTTTTCCCCCAAACTTGCTGATCAGGGATTACCACATAAGCGTATATGAGGGTTTCCTCCACTTTACAGCACATTAGTTATTGCTGATCTCCAGCAGATACAGCGTTGCTGGGTAAATGCACTACTGCTCTTAATACGCTCTGGTAGTTTGTATTGGAGTTATAAAAAAAAAATATAGTGGTTAAATGCTGCTGTGTACGGCATCGTTACGTTTCTGTCGCGGATGGCTGACTTACTTACCTACAACTGCACTGAGCAGCTTCTGACTCGCTCACTGCATCGGTCACCTAAAGCAGAAAAACAACATCTGACGTTGACCTGTAGTTACGCATTTGTTTTTAGCAAACAGAAGGGCAGGGAAGGGAACAAAGCCAAGAAAAAACAAGTTACTGGATCACTTATTAAGCCAAGTTAGAAAACCTTTATTTTTTCAAGGCAAACTAAAAGGGAGTTGTGAAGTATTATCTTACAGTGCTACAACTATGTAGCTAGCTACAACTTACATGAATTTAGCTAGTATTAGATGCTTAATTTGTTTAAAAAAACCCCAACCAACCAAAAAACCACACACAAAACTGTTCCAGTGCTGTATCTGTAGGTAACAGGTACTGAAGCCCAAATCTCCAAAAGGTGTCCTGTTCTCAATGATTTCACTGCCTCTGAAGGCCTGCTTAACGGAGCAGTTTGCTTTTGACTGCAGCTGAGAAAAATCCACACCTCTTGACTCCCTCTATTGTCTTTTAATGTCATGATTCTTCCACACAAGTTCTTCACAAAGTACAGCAAATTAAGTTATATATAGGTACTTCTCTAAACATGACGTACATAATGTAATTACTTTACAGCCATAATCTTCCTCAATGTTATTATATTCACAGTTTATAACTACAGACTTGACGTCATGAGTCCCCTTCCATCAGAATACAGCCTTGAAGGACCCGTTGTTGGCAAATGGTCAGACTGGTGTCATTCAGCATCGGCAGTGACCTCATCTATTGTGAGCCAGCACCAATGTAAAACTCCCATCATGGGAAGGCAGATCTAAGCAGCTCTCTTAAATTGCTCTTTTCCCTCTCATGC